GCCTGTGGAGAGAAGTCAGAGCAAGGACATGCCAAAGCACGGCCTTCCAAAGTATGTGGGGGGTTGAAGTATACATACCTCCAAAATTACTCTTGGGTGCAGAGAACACTAAAACTGACCCTACAGCTCATCACAGAGAAGGGCAGTAATAGAATCAAACAAAATGTGAAGGAATGATAAAACATATACCTGATTGAATAGGTCTACCAAAGGATAAAGGAGGCCCTGACATCTTCCCTGATATCACATGCGACTGTGAGCCACAGGCAGCTCAAATCCTCATCACCATGTACACGCTAAGCATTACAAGGTATAAAATGACAAATCCACAAAAATTAAGCCAACTCCCAGCAAAACAAACCAGTGCCAAGAAATAAAATGAGCCTTGGTTGAAATAGAGGTGCTCATGAGGTTTACTGTGGATGGAGGATGTGTACCCCCCCTATTCATGGAGGGCTATAGTTTAATGATGATTGCATCATAAATTGGTGTAGTACATGTCAATACATGTAGGGGTGAAAGTTTAATTAAAGTCTTGGTGAAGGCACAAAAAGTTTTTTCATCAAAGGCACAAGTTCCCAACCCTGTGGAGAGGTAAATAACAATTCTGAAGAGAAATTGTCAGCGTGTAAGTGCTTTGTACATACGTGTGCAAACTGATCAAATTTTATCAGTTTAACCACAGAAAACACATGGTGTTAGGCAAGCAAAATAAACCAAATGAAACTCTTTTTTAGAATAGGAAATCATATGTTTTTATATTTTCAAAAATGTTAACACTAACATAAAGATTTTGGTAAAACTTATAGTATAAAAATGCACAAACCTCATCTGTTGTTAGGTCCCTTTGATTTAAGTTTCTCACACAGTGGTTGAAGCATGTTTCAGACATCTTATTGTAGATCATCAGAAAATCTCTGAACTTAAAAGATGAAAAAAATGTCAAATACTGTCAAAATATTTTTGTTCAATGATGCAACAACAAAAATTTCAACCACATGGTATAAAGAAAGAAAAATGTATAAAAACCTTTTAATTATTAATTATTTATTGATAATATGAAACTTAAGAATAGAAAAATACACTGATTGAAACCATGGAGATTAGGTGACTTGAATAATGGCATAATTGACAAATGTACAAAGCTACATACACCAACCAACTGCTGTAATGTGTCATCATTAGAGATTATTCTATGTCAGCCACACTATATCTGCTATATCTAGTGCTGATGAGGCCTTTCACCCAATACATCAGGTCTGTTCAGTAGTAGTGGTTGAGATGCCACTCATACTATCAAATTGTACAAACAACAACTGTCATGGTATGAACTATATCAAGTTTATAAAGTGTAATTTTATCTAACCCTAGAACACCAGTGTGGAGTCACTATGATCCCATACTACCTGGTGTTAACAGAAGAAAATGTAACACTGAATTCTAGGTTTATGACATTCACAATACGTATGCTGACAAAAGGAAGTGTATTTTAGGAATTAGTATATTTTGCAAAGACAACTAAAGAAAATTGACAAGTTTAAAAAAGGTTAAGGATGAAGCAGATCATTTTCACATAAAATAATATCAGTTCTTAAACTAATGTAGCAAATTGTTTTAGATAAAACTGCATACAATTTGACACATAAGCACTATGAGCATGCAATGATTTATTAGAATTAAATGAGATAAACTTCTTTAGACACACTACAGCTTAACTCATCACATCACTCAATAAAGTTTTACATAAATCATAAGTGGTGTAAGAAAGAATTTAAAAATAATCCACTTTAGAAAATAAGTAAATAAAGTTAAAGACAATAAATGAATGCATAATATACATACAAGAATTAACTATTAACAACAATGAACATGTTATGGGTAAGAAATATGTTACTGATCATTTAAATTACTTACAAAGTAGGTATGTCATAACTCTCAGAGATAAAGCAGCTAAAAACTGTTTTCATTTGTAAAAAGATTTATATTACAACTTTATGTAAAGAACTGAGTTTGATTTAAAAACTCTGAGTAACAAGGTTTATAAACATGTTAAAACTGGTATAGAAAGTATCATAAATGAAAGTATTTCAGTTTTATCAGACTCTGGTGTACATTTAGTTAAATCAAACGTTATACCTAAACAAGTTACAAAACACACCTTACAAATACAGGTTTATTGATGGGATGAAAAATGCTAGGGTTAAGGAATTGACAATTTTAATAGATAAGGGTCTGAAATATATTAAACATTATTCAAAGAAATACTGTAATATTATCAAAGAAAGAACTGGTATTAATCCATTCATTATAATTGGTAATTCCCCTGAATTAAAGTTTGAGGCTAAAACAACAGAAAATTCTGATTTCAGTAATCTTTACACTAGTCTACCTATTGATAGAATTCTTTCATAAACAATTTCAAGGTAATTTAAATACATCACAACTCTGCATCAGTTAACATAACTTTTTCAAACAATGCTGCTCACACAAAAATTATGTTTGTAGATTACATTCAACATTTTATTTAGCTATTATTTCATAACGTATGTCAATGAATTTGGTATCAAATTGTAGATTATAATTCAAATTTAGTATTATACATT